GGGGGGGGGTCCCTCGCAGCTGGAGGGGCTGGATACAGAGAAGGCTGTACCTGGTGAGATCCTCCGCTCCTCTGGCTGCAGGAGCCAGCAGCTAATAATGGGTCAAACGTCACTCCATGTCCAGCGATGAATTCGATTTGATGATGTCAGGGAAGCATCTTGGGATGATGGCTGGGTGAGCGTTGAACTTCCCCACTGACGAAGCTCATCTCTTAAATTTTAGGGATCTTGCAGAATGTAAAAGACCTGCCCAGACTTGCTTTCCTTTGAATCCCACAGAGCACTAACTCAGAAGTCAGCTGGTATGCTAGGGGCAAGATGTGGTTTGTGTTTCGTGTTTATTTTTCTGAATTTCCCAGCCATGCATGGCAGGATGGTATGTTTTAAGGGAAGCAATGGAATAATTTTTGAAGTGAACATATCTTGTACTCAAACTGTTGACCTAGCATAAGTGAGTTGATTTGACCAGATGTGATGGTTCTGGCTTCTTGTGATGTGGCATGAGCTGCCCAAGCATTTGAAGCCTGTGACCCGAAGTAGGTCAGGTTTGAATCCGTAAGTTCCGTAACGTCACTTTTGAACAGAAGACGCCTATTGGTCATTAAATAGAGCTACTGGGTCCTGGTCTCCACACTGTATTGCCCAACGTGCAGGTATTTTGCCTGGTGTCTTAGACTTGAAAGGGTTTACGTCACCGAATGTCAAAGGGGTACCTAGGTTACTGGTTAAAAGTGTTTTCCTGACCCCATCCCTAGAGATTCTGAATTACTGGTTTCAGATGGGGCCCAGGAAGACCCATGTAACACATCCACTTTGCTGATTCTGATCAGATATTACATAAATATTTCTGAATTACTGATAGAGTCTAGTGGATCATAACCAAACAAGGCTTTCCTCATTATTATTTTAAAGGTAGATACTTCTTCCAAGTCCATCATTTTCTTCATAGCCTGTCATTTTTCCAGAGATGGCAGCATCCTTCTAGAGAGGTTGTTATAAATATTGATCACTTTTTCTGGTGGGACCCCAGTGTGGGTGTTCTACAGATGAACAGCCGTTGAAGAGCTTGAAAGCAGAGTGAGGTGATCAGTTTTGCTGTTGGAAAATGTCACTCCAGCTTCAATGCGGAGGATGGCTGGGCAGCAGCAGGAGAGGGGCTGGGAGGGGCCAGACGATGACGAAACCACCACAGTAGCCAGGAGCAGTGGTGGCCCGGTTCTCCTGCAGCGTGGCTTTGGTCTGGTCAGTACAACAGTGATTAAAAGCAAAGCTCAAGTCAGAGAGCTTGCAACTTGTTGCTGGCTCTGTCCTTTGCTTGGGCAAAGTTCTGTCTGTCTGTCTGTGTGTGCTTCCTCCTCTGTAAAATGAGGATAATCATAGTGCCCACCCCGGCAGGTTGTGTGAATTGGGAGTGAGAATACAGGTGAAGCCACCTGGCACGTGCTGAGGGCTCAGTGAGCTGGAGTCACAGTCGGGGGGGGGGGGTCATTCATTCAACAAAAATGTATTGCTGGAACGGTGCCAGGTTCTGTTTAGCGAGCTGGGGACACATCAGTGAACAAAGCAGACAAACCGTTCTTACCATAAAGCTCCTGTCCTAGTGAGGGATGAGAGAAAGAAAAGTCAGAGAACAGACTTGGAGAGAAAAGATAACTTGGGCAGAGGGATGATAGCCCGGGCAGCCGCCCTGCAGGGAGGCCAGGGAAGGCTGCTCTTTGAAGATTCACCAGATCTAACTGTGTGCCGGGTACCGAGCAGAAGAGACAGAAATCCCGCTTTCGTGGGGCTGACTTCCTCATGGATGGTGAAGGACAAAAAGAAAGTAGACGAGATGTGGTCAGAAGGTGGTACGTGCTCAGGAGGAAAAGAGAGCAGAGAGCAGATATCAGAGCGTGTGTGGTGGAAGAGGGGGGCTTATAGGTGTAAATGGGGTTGGAGGGAGGGGGTCACTAGCCGTGTGACACTTGAACCAGGGCCTGAAGGGGTGAGCGGGAGTCAGGGGGCGTGTCCTGGGGGTGGCGGTCATCTCCTTAAGCCTCCCCCGCCGTCTGGGCCCATCTTGCTTTGTGTAGCCAAATGTTACATGGCCGTGAAATGATTTGTTTATATTTTTCTCCACTGACTAGGAGACTGACTCTTGTTTTCCCCAGCACTAAATGCAGGTATATGGCATACAGTTGGT